AAAAAAAAACAGGGATAATTAATGGTTTTGTAATAGCCCTTAAGTTCAAACACCACCACCACCAAAGCAACAATGAAATCTAAAGTTAAATCCTAATTTTCATGACTTAAAAATAAAAAAAAATACAAAAGTTTTTTATAGCTATGATTTTCAAAGAATAGTAAAAAATCTTTCAGTAAAAATCCAAATTACATTTTTGTGGCATCCTGTCAATGTTTGTAGACAGAATAACTGAGAAATGACATTTGGACAGTTAAGGAAAAAAATGATGATATGAAGTACAAACACTGAAGATCTGATAATAATCAGAATAAGTATTACATAGTAACTAGTCACCAAAGCAGTTCACTTTTAATCTGGAGCCTGCACAGAAGTGAAGAATAAAGAGAATTATTCCTGGGAATTTGGGTAGGGGACAAATATGAAAATGAGTAGGTTCGTTACTATGTGACCTTGAGAAGTCACCTAACCTTTCTCAGGACCTGTAAGACAGAGTGGTCGTCTGACGGACACCACAGACTGGCGAGCTCAGCTCACCTCAGCCCCTAAGCTGCGTTATTGCCCAGGTGTGGACTATAAGCCACGGTATTCAGATTCCCTTACAGCTTTGATCCACTGGGACATGTTCTTTGCCAAGGAGAAATGCTCATGTGAGATGTGAGTGGGGAAAGGAGATAGAGGCTATGTTTCTGGGGAGATGTTTCTGAAGTATTTTTGGAGTCATTCATTCCTGTATGCTCTGTCTGAAGCCTGTTCCTCTAAGCCTTGGAACAATTTTGTAAGCATCTAACCCCCTACTTTAGATCCCTTTCAGTTAAAGATAGTAGAGAGTTTCTATTTTCTGAAAGTGAACCTTGACTCACACAGACAAGATCTAAGGACCCCTCTCATTATGTTCTGTCAACCATTTCCTGTGCCATGGATTGTAATTTCTTTCCCAAACCAGAAATTCAAAACCCTGCACACATTCAATGCATGTTGCTGTAGTTCAATATAAATAAGTAAATCATGACAACAGTGACAATGTCTCTCTCTGTTAATGCACTGAAGATCTCCTGAATTAGCTGCCATGGATAATATTTTAGGTACTTACCTGCCACAGCGGCATCCAACTCATCTTCATCCACGGATTCCTGTGTGGTAAAGTCTTGCAAAGGAGACAGTGGGTAGGAGGTATTGAGATTCAAGCCCAACATGAAGTTGTGCACTTTCCCAGCTCGGCCTTCTCTGGTATTGAATAAAGTTGAATCACTCACCAAGGCCATTAACATACGCTGGACCCAACTTGCTTGATTATCATTTTGATACTCCCTTTCAGCTTCTTCATTTTCAGTGCCTTAAAAAAAAAAAAAAAAAAAAAAGGAAAAACAAAAAATGAATTCCCATATCCACTTTTCTTTTTAAAAAAGATGTTCTTTGGACAACTGAGTGTTAAAATAAACCAGAAAGCTCTGTGGATTTTTATTTATTTTTTTTTAAAGATTTATTTATTTATTCATACAGAACTGGGGACAGGCCAGAGATGCAGAGGATGAGAAGATTCACCAGGGACAGAGTAGGGAGCAGAACAGGCAGATCGAAGAAGTACACTGCTGAGGGGAGCAGCGGGAGGGTCAGGAGAGGTCTGCCATGCCATGTGGGTCACCTCCGGGGCAGGCGGGGTCGGACTCATGTGGAAGTGGCTTAAGCTTCTTAGTGCTGTGCTTTAACCTGCTGCGCCACCAGGGAGGGCCCGAGGATTTTTATTTAACAAACAATTATTGTTGCAAATTAACAGGGCAAATATTTCAGTTAATCTTGTTTCATTCTTAAATTGTTCTCACTTTACCCTTTATTGACGATATGCCAAAGGTTATTTTTAAGTTGTAAATGGATATGTGTTTTCTTGACATAGACTAGTGCTTTTTCTTGAATAGACTAGTGTTTTTTGGTAGTGTTTTTAAGTTTCTCAGATGTAAGACAAAACAACTAGTATAGGTAATCAAATGTGCTGATGACCTCTAGCAATTAGTAGTTTACAGACCATTCGCACACCTACTTGATAGTCTCTAAATTGACACATACTTGGTTCTAGAAATGCCAGGCAGATGCAGTCTATATCCTTTGTACTGCCTAACTTCTGCTGTTGAAGCTAAAAGGGATAAGCTAAATTAAATAAGCCAGAAGAGAAAAATAAATACAAGCTGGTGTCACTTATATGTGGAATACAGAGCAATTGAAGAAAAGATCAGACGAAGACAAACTTTAGGACCAGCCCTTGAAAGCTGACCACAGATCTAAGGCATCCAAGAGGGGAGAGGTGAGAGGGAGCAGAGAGCATCAGGGACGGTGGAGGAGGACTGTGGGGTGCTTTGGTGATGGGAGGGCTACAGTGACCACACCTGAGGGGGGACATTTTATATTGTTAAAATATTAACCAGGACATGAAACAGTGGTGCATCACTCTGGAAAAAAAAAAAAAAAAAAAGAAGTATTTAAAAAGATAAAGGGTACCATAATGAAAAGAAAAAGAGACTTGAAATAAAGATTTAAGCAATTAAAATAATTTAAATGTAAAGGATGAAGGAACCCTAATTAAGGCTTGCTTCCCTCCTGGGGTAAGGTTCTCCTGGATTCCTACCTAAGGAGCAGGGCTACTTACTGTGTCTAATGAGGCAAATGGCTGGTTGCATAAGGAAGTACAGTGTGACAGGCTAACGGGGAACACAGTTCAGAACACCCATTATGGGCAAGGCTGTGTGGGGCTTAAAGCTCTGCCTAGGGGTAGATTTCCTTTTTGCAAATTTGCACAGGTGACTGCTCACTGCCAAGCTGTATTTCCTAGGAAAGACACCTTTTCTAATTTTTAAAACCCACAAAGAAGTAGCAAACCAGCTCTGAGAAAAGAATTTGAATTTCAGTGATAATCTGGCAAGGATAAAGTGATCTCTCCAGTATCTGTATAACACGGCTGGTAAAATTTTTTAAGTTTTGGACAAGAAAACATTGAATATCTTCCTAACTCTAGATGATCAGATCTAAAATAATATAATAGGACATGTTCAATCATTTGTTATAAAATCTGTTTGATGAGTAGAAACAATTGTAGAAATGACAGTGTCAAAATATTCTATACACCCCATTTTACATAACATGTGCAGCAAATATTCCAGATCTTGGTGTTACCCTGCCTGACTCCATCACTGACTGTCGTTAGCCACACCAAACTGAAACTGCCCAGCCAAAATGTGAAAGGACCCATTTATCCTGCAAAGTAATATATACAACAAAGTTCTGGGTAATTCTACCCCTATCCATCATTGTCCCCCTTCCTAAGAGGCAGAGTGTTGGTAATAGAGTAAGTCTCAGGAATGGAGTTAGAAATCACATGTAATTTAATAATAAAATTTCAATTTTTAAAGACATGTAAAAAGGTTCCCAAATCATGATTTCATACTAAGAAGCCTGGTGCTCTAGATAAGACTGAAAACAGAATTCAGAATTTCCACCATAGCAGTTCTTCATTTGTTTAATTGTAATATTTTTGAGATATTAAAAAGACAAGAATAAGGGATATCTATGTGCCTCCTATTTTACTGTATTTACAACAGTTGATTCTCTTTGTAGGAAGTTACAACTCTATCACTTCGGTGCTTTAGAAGACCACCAACCATTAGCACCTTCAGTGAGAAAATTGGATGTAGTGAGTGAGATCCTCTCCTACGGGATTTCTGCTAGACAAGGTCTCGGCTCTCTGACTTACCTTTGGGTTCATGTGATTCATCATCGCTGTCTGAGCTATCATGACTCACAATATGCTTTGCTGTAATATTTTCTGTGGAAAGAAAAAAAATCAGTTCAAGGGTCTCAGGTGTCAACACTCACAATTTACTGCAAGGAAGTAATCTGAGCCAGAATCACAGAGTAAATTCCACCAGACTTGAATGGAAAGTGAGATGAACTTAGAATTATTAGAATACTAGTTTTTTTTCAAAATTCTCAATGAAGAACTTTTTTTTGAACATGAAAAACTTAGTTTAAAACATAATCATTCACACATTTAAGGGGAGAAATCTTGTTTATCTTAATCTGATAAGAGTAACTTAACTGTAGGAAACTCTATGTTATACCTAAAGTATATAATTTTAATTACATATGGTATACATGAAGATAAAAGCAGGGTTAAACTAAAAAGTATACTGGGTTACAGACTAGTAGACCAAAATGGGTGAAAGTTACTAATATACTTATCTTTCTCAACAAGAATTAAAGTTGTCTGATGAAATGCGATTTCTTTTTGTTCTTGATAATTAGTGCAGTTACAAAAAATATAGCCACAAACCTTTAAAACAGATAGGCATAGAACCCAGTATCATAACCTTTTTTTTTTTTTTTTTTAAAGATTTACTTATTTATTCGTACAGAACTGGGGTACAGGCCAGAGGCTCAGGGGCGGTGAGAGGCTTCACCAGAGACAGAGTGGGGAACAGGACAGGCAGATCGACGAAGTACACTGCTGAGGGGAGCAGCGGGCGGGTCAGGAGAGGTCTGCTACACCATGTGGATCTCCTCTAGGGCAGGCGGGAATTGAACTCATGTGGAAGTGGCTTAAGCTTCTTTGTGCTGTGCTTTAACCCGCTGCACCACCAGAGAGGGCCCACCTTTTTTTTTTTTTTAATAAAAAGTACCTAAATTATGGACCACACAGATGATTTATAATCATCATTTGTAGAAAAACCAAACTTTCTTTGGATACTTATGTGAAAATATTTTTGTAAAGTGATGCTTTCTCTATAAGTTCATAGAGTTAAAAATTTTATTTTTAAAGATTATCAGTTTCCCCATATATTCTGTGTATTTATTATACTCACACAGTGCTATGCTGACAGATTACCAAGACTGGATAAGGAAGGGTTGATAAATCCTTGAGGAGATTGACTAACATTATTTTTTTAACTTTACACAGCTAATTCTACTGGCAGGATTGCACATATAAAATTCAATAAAAGAAAATGTCCATGAGTCAATATTATTAGACATTTTATTTTATGATTATTACAGAAAGTAATTCTGCTGTAGAGAGGAGGGCAATATTAAGAAACTATTTACTGCAAGGCCTCCCTAGTGGTCTAGGGGTTTAATCTGAATGTTACCACTGCTATGGCTTGAGTTTCAGTCTCCCCCTCCCTCCAACTTAGCTCACAGGGCACAGCAGACCTCTTCTATCTAACTGTCGTTCTTCTTAGCAGTGTGTTTCAATAAATACATCTGTTCAGCCCACTCTGTCTCTGGTGAATCTTCTCACACCTCTACTCTGGTATCTCTGGCCTATACACCAGTTCTTCTATGCGTAAATAAATAAATCTTTAAAAAAAGAGAAATCATCTGTTCCAGATATCACATGCAACAGATGTATCCCTAGTTCTACATGCATTTGGGCATGACAAACATTTCCTTCCTAAAGCATTTCTTTCTTCTTTATTCTTTGTGAATATATTTGATATTCTCTTTTAAGGTAATAGTTTACCAAAGTTCTATGTTTTTTTAGGAACATTTCATAATATGAATATCTAAATATTCTGTATTTATCCATTTTCTATCACAGTATAATTTATAATTCCATCTAATGAAAAGCATAGGTGGCTCATATTCAAGACTCCTTGAGAAGGCAACAACTTTCATTTAGTTATCTCCTTTTTCAGGAGGACGAAGAAAACCTCAAATCACCTCTGAACGCCCCTCTATGAGGTAGACTTTAGTCAGCAAGTGGATATTAAGAGTCACCAGAGTCCTCTAATCCCCTCATTACCCCTAAGGTCTCCTTCTTACTTAATCTGAGATAACAGGCTTCCTGTTGGCTGGGAATCTCAGATACCACCTGCCCCAAATGTGACATAAATAAAAAGCTGTCAACCACTGGCCTCTGAGGGAAGCTTGGAACAAGAGTCTGGGGAATAAAACTCCACCTTTTCCCTGGCCTTCTGCCACTGTCTCACCCACCTCAGAGGTGTTATTGTAGCTCTATTTGCTTCCTGACTGAGGAGGAAAAGATAACCTCTATTCTTATCCGGATTACCCAGCAGAGAAGGAAACAAAGCGAAGCAGACTCAGAGTATGGGGTACTTTCTTCTTTTTTCTCAGAAATCGTCACATAATTTAGAGAAAGTTCAGTGTTTCTACAAAATCAGTGTCAAAAACAGGATATTCATCTGGGAAATAATGGTTATTAAAATAAACCAAAGCAACACATTTTAGAACTGTAGCTGTCCTTCCGATAATGTTCCTCTGTAGTCAGTACCAGGCAGGCTTTGGAGTTCTACCAACTATGGCTGCTTCTAACTGATGGATGCCCACAGGACAGCAGCCAATTCAAGCATAAAGTGCTTTTGTTAACAGTTTTTATTATTTATTTATTTATTTATCTATCTATCTATCTATCTATCTATCTATCTATCTATCTATCTATCTATCTATCTAT